TGGCAAAACTAACCAATATCAACATCAGAGTTCTATCCACCTTATTTGCACATTCCCACCCACTAATCTGGTAGTCAAGGCTAGAAAAGCCATCCAAGTAATTCACTGTACCATAACACTTCATACCCCTTTAAAAAATGATACAAGTAATATGTACATTCATTTATATATGAACATTATAGAAAAGCAAAAATACCCCTTGACACCTTTCCATCAAGGTGAAGTGCCCACTACACAAGAGGTACCTTTATGAGTTTGTCAGACATCTTTCCGAATTTGGAAATTATACATATATGATGATGATGATGATAGCTGTTCCTGAGCCGACTGCAGTTTATGGTTTTATGTACAGCAGAAGGAATGATGCCTGATCCTGCATCACTTTCATGATCACTGGCATTTTTTAGTTCATCAGCTACTCTGTCAGTCCATCTCATTGAGGATATCCCTCATTCTCATTGGCTCTTATCTTCACCAAACATGATGTCTTCCTCCAGTGATTGATCTCTCCTGATTACATGTCCAAAGAAGGAAGTTGAATAATGTTTTGTCGTGATTCATAAGGTTTTCATTGGCTAATTTTCAGAAGTAGATGGTCAGGCGTGTCTTTCTAGTCTATTAAATAGTCCAGAAGCTCTGCTGAAACCTGCCTGGTATTTGAAATACTTGTGGCATAGCTTCCAGCATAATAGCAACATGCAAGCCACCAGAGTATGACAAACTGACAGATGAGTTGTGGTATACATATATATATATGCATCCACACAGAGAGACATACATGCTATACCCATCAGTCAGCAACTTGCAGTTTCCTGGATTTATCATTTTGTTTCCTGGATTTATCCATACTTTTATAACTGATTCAATTCATTTTTATGGTGCAATATTCTATCACATGTATCATTAATTTATTCATTCTCCTTTTGATGACCATTTGAATATTTTCTAATTTTTCACTGTGACAAACACTGCATAGACATTTCTCTTCCTGCACATATGGACGTGTTTTTTCTAGGACTGAATCCCAGAAAAGCCAGGCACATTTGTAGTTTTAACTACTAAATTGTCCTGCAAACAGATTGTTCCATATAACTAATATCAGTGTATGAAGGTACTTGCCTCTCCACCACCTTACAAAAATTCTTGTTGTTGTGAGACTTATCCAAGTATAATTTTCAAAACTTAAAAATGACTCATACAAATATAAAATACACACACATCAAAAATCTAGTCAACTCATTAATTAATGAGGAAACTTATAAGATAATAAAGCTGATTCCAAGACCATTTGAGGAACTAGGTTTAAATTGTCCATAAAAAGAATATGTTAAAATAAGATTGCTAGGCTAGATATAACACTGGTTAATGTTCTACAGAAGCCCTGATGGCACAGTAGTTAAGCATTCGGCTGCTAACTGAAAGGTCTGCAGTTCAAACCCACCAGCAGCTCTGCAAGAAAAAGACGTGGTAGTCTGCTTTCTTAGAGATTATTGCCTTGGGGGACATCAAGCTCACTTGGCATAACATACTATACAAAACATTGTTCCACCTCCTACTTTGGCGAGTAGTGACTGGGATCTTAAAAGCTAGCAAGCTGCCATCTAGATGCAACGATGGATCTCTCCTCATCCAGAGCAAAGAAGAATGAAGAAAACCAAAATTCATGGAAACAATTAGTCCTAGCAACTAGTACACCATCTGATCTGCAGCCTATACAACTATGAGACCAGAAGAACTAGATGGTGCTCGGCTACCACTGTCATCCACTTAGAAGGGGATCTATGTAGGAGATCCTTGATAGAGAGGGAGAACAATGTGGAACAAAACTCAAAATCATTTGGAGGGAAAAAAAAAAAGGTGGGGACCAGTTTTGCTGGTCCGGTAGAGCCTGGTGGAACCACTGAGACTATGGCCTCTAGCTGCCTTTTAGATCTGGAATTGAAACCACACCTGTGGTTTCCAGCCAAACGAAATACAGGCATATGAGTTGAACATTTACCTCAAGTAGATCCACTCCCTGGAGAGAATAATCATGGGAGAAAGAAGGGCTGCTTATGCACAGGGAAATAGCTCAGGGGGCAGGAGTATATGGAGGGATGGACACTAGGAAGAGGTAACTATGGGGAGGAAGTGGGAGGGGAGCTGTTGCATTGTGATAAACTGTGGTCAATGACATGAGACAAAGTATATGTGAACTGCTGTATGGAAAGTGAATTTGCTCTGTAAATCTTCACCCAAATCACAATAAAAAAAGAGAAAAGATTACTGCCTTGGAAACCCTATATGACAGTTCTACTGTATCCTATAGGGCCACTAAGAGTCAGAATCTACTTAGCTGGCCACAGTTTTGAATGGCTTGACAGCTGGATATAGCTATTCCCCATGTTGAGATTGTAATCACCTCCATGGTAGAAGCTGCTATGAACAGATAAGTAATTGCGTTCAAGGTGTGGCCTGCTTCCAGTATATATGGGGAAGCGTTGAGGAAGGATTTTAGCTTGTTTGCCCATTATGGGCCCTGTTGCTTGCCAATCTTGAGATTCTTCCTGGACTTGAACCAGTGACCTTCAGTGTTGCCTACTGATTTTGAGATTATGCCATTCTACTGCCAATCTTGGGTTAATCAGCCTCAGCTGCCAGTAGCTTCATGAGTGACAAGAAGCCTCCAGCTTCCAGTGGGCCTAGAACAAGAAGCAGCGCTCAGGCCCAAGGTCAAGGGGCCGTCACCCAGCCCCTACAGCAGGCACTCTGAAATCAGACTTCCAGCCTCCTAAACTGTAAGAATAAATTCCTGTTTGTTGAAGCCATCTACTTGTGGTATTTCTGTCAGCACTGGAGAACCAACACAAATGGCAATTGCTTTGGTTTCGTTTAATGTCTTACAGAGCAATAAATTGTAACTTTTGAGGTTATCTTTTTCTTGGGACAAAAATTATTTGCATTTCTACCAGGCACAAATCTACAAGTTAGCAAATAACTTCTCAGTGTCTTAGTTCTTTACGAATAGTAAATAGCAACACCAAACAACAGTACATTCTCCAAAAAAATTAAGTAATCCTTGGGCCTGTAAACAACACTTCAGTATGACATTAAAAGGATGCAGTCACCCTCTGGCCTTATTTCCAGATTTTGGAAAATTTTTAATAGATTTTTAAAAATCCTTATCAATCTAATAGATTTTTTAAATGGTAGTTTTCATATTAATTTTGGTAATTGTTAGTGAGTTTAGGGCATCTTTTATTTTTGTTTGGCCATCTAGTTTCCTCTAGTTCCAGGTCTCTTTAAACCAACGACATTAATATGAAAATTTAAAAAAAAAAAAGTGACCAGGAATGCCTGGCATAAGTACAGTTCCACAAAGTTAGGCCTCTTAGGCAAACAAGGGAATGAAGACCTGATTGTCTCTAGTAAAGATTTTACATACACAAGCAAAGTGCCAAAAGTTCCATAATTCTGTGAATAGAATTTTGGAGATAAGGGTGTGTGTGTGTGTGTGCCAGGAGGATGTGGGGGAGGCAGGAATGCCACTCTAACAGGTCTCAGTGGGGCTTTGTTGTGGGGAAGGTGGCTAGTCTGAGAGCACCTACCCTGGGTCCCTCACCAGGGCAGACCCCCTTGGTCAATTAAGGAACACTTAGTGATTGCCTACTAAGGCAGAGGAGGAGGAGGGCTGGAAAATATATTCTCCTGGTTAACACTCAATGTAAAAGGTGAACCTGACCAACACCGAGTGGTAAATGTAAACGCAAATCATGAATTTATAATCCATGATGACATCCACCAAGTCACTGAGCAGCCTGAATGTAAACTTGTGGGTGGGTGAGCGTTCTTCCATTGGGCTGAATTCAAGTACCAGCAGCCAACCTTTGGGCTCTAACGTTCCTGCTCAGCAGTAGGTATTGTAAACTTCCCAGCTATCACTTGAAATTATCTTTCACTTAGACAAAACCGAACTAAGACTGGTGTGACTCCAGCCCAGTTTTCACTTTGCAGTTTCGCCGTTTTAGACTTCCAAAATCAGTCTCACAAGTCGTTTTCAGAAACCCCAGAGGCTCTGTCCGAGGACACCCACTTTCCCATCGCGCCTTCTTCCTGCCTCTTGGCAATGGGTCACTCTGCTTTGGCCCAGGTCTTCCGGGACGCCCCCTTCCCCGCACCGGCCTGCGGTCGTCTGCACGTCTGTTTGTTGGTCCCAGAGCCTTGCCCAGGATGATGAACGCGCACACGGGAGAGAGGCGCTGGCGGCACTGGGTGAGGAGCCCCAGCCGCTCTCGCCTTCGCCCCCTTTCGGATCCTGAATCTCCCGCCTGACCCTCCCCATTGCGAGAAGGGTACCAGCG